GCAGGAGTTCTGGGACGGATGCAGAAATTCCTCCAACCCCACGGATTTTAAATAAACATTTTTCAAGCAAGCAGGGCCCCGGGAGATTTCAAGGAAGAATTTATGTTTGCTGGCATGGACAGGACATGGAAACTCCAGGTTTTGGGGGTTCCCCCATCCCCCCAGGAATGGCACTGGCAAAAGGAACAGGATGAAGCAAAACCCCAGAGGATCCTTGTGGATAATGACAGCAGGACAGACACCCCGACGAGGAGGAGAACAACCAGGCAACCCCAGCACCCCAAAACGGGGCAAGCACTTCACCCTGAAAATAAAATATCAAATAACCCAACCCTATTTCCCCCTCTCCTCAGCCAGGCTCCCGTTCTCCTGCTGCCTCTGCCCTCAGCAGGATTTAACCATGCAGAGAGCAAAACTCATCAATCCTCCAGGTTTAACCTTGTCTGTGTTCAATTCACCAGGGTAAGTGCAGCTTTTAATACTTGCAGCCCCCTTAAGGCTATGCATAATGAACTGGGATTTTGGTTACAAAAATCTCAAATTTCTCTCCTGCACCCACGGATGTGAAGATCAGGGTTGAGCCAGTGGCTTGAGACAGCCAGTGCCACCCGGAGCTGGGGAAAGGTGACTTCAGCACAGGAGGAGTGGAGCAGCCTGTGCTGAGGGATAACCTGGGCAGGGATTTAAATATAGATATAGATATAAAATTATATATATTAATATATATAATTATATATATATATATATATATAAAATAAAAAACTATATATATAATTATATCTATCATTATAAATAAATATATAAATTATATACATAAATTATATATTCGTATATATAATTATATATATAATATAAAACTATATATAATTGTACGTATAATTATAAATAAATAAATATATAAATTTTTATATATATATATATATATTCCTACCCAGAGCAGGTCAATACAAGGGTCTTCCCTGAATTAAAATTTAACTCACCAACTCACCCTTTATTGCAACCCACAAAAGCAAGTAATGAGCACTAACATTTTCATTTCTTTTAAACTGTCATTTAGGCTGTAGAGGGGATAATTACCTATTTCCACTGTAGTAAGGTTTTATCACCCTTAGTGAGGCATTTTCTAATTTAATATTTTTACTGTATTATCATAAAACCTGTTTCTGGAAAAAATGCTCAGGACCCACACAGCCATTTGCCATAAAACATGTGTGTGTGAGTACCTTGGCTTCATTATTTATGCATTTCTTCCTGAGGCAGGGGATGGCACCTCCCCACCTGGACACTGCTGATATTAATAGAATGATAATTCATAAACAAATATAAACAACATAATTATATTTAAAAATATAATTTAAATTATATTTTTAAATAGCATTAAAATTCTATTTTTAAATATCATTTTTTAATATGATATTGCTGGACACAATATTTTTTTAAAAATTAATTTTTTTAAAAGAAATTATTTTTAAAATTATATTTTAAAATTATATTTAAGAATATAATTTTAATAAATTAAATAAAGGCAGCTAGAGCCAGCCCAGGTGCTGAGGGTGGTGCTGCCCCCTCCAAACCCACGGAGCAGCAGAATCTGAATCAGAACCCTCAGCAGGAATCTGCTCTCCCTCCCACACGGGAGGGGAGCAGCCAGGGCTGGGCTGCTCTGTGGAATTACAGTCATCCCATTGCCTTTTTAAAATATAATTCTGTAAACCCATAGAAGAACAAAATTAAGGGGGAAAATCTAGTTTCTAGGTTTGTTTTATTTTTTTAAATTAAAATAGCAATAGTGGGCTATTTTCTATTTTAAAATATAAAATATATTTTAGATAAAATATATTTTAAATATAAATAAATT